TTGTTTGCTGAATCCCCTGGTTATCTGCAGCCTTCATGAAGGCAGGGAATGCATTTTTGTTCCCACTGTATTCTCAGAAACTAGCACAATGCCTGGCATACAGTAGGCACTTAATAAATAGCTGATGAAAAGAATACTATGAAATGTACTCAATTATGAAAATGTTTCAGCTTTTGAGAGGGTAATATCCCAAAATCATTCAAATCAAGGCCAAGGAAGCATAAGGCTGAGCTATTGTTTTTGATTACAAAAATTCAATGAAGATTTTGCTGTTATTAGGGTTTAAACTGATTATGGAGACAATTCTCAAAAAAGTTTGACTAATAATTTAATAACACTCACCTGCATATGTATGGAAATGATCACTATTAAAACTTTTTTAAGAGAATGACAGCTCATTTTCAAAAAGCTTCATCCAGATCACACCAAATTAAAAAAGGAAGGCTACCGTTTTATCAGGCACATATTAAGCAGTCTATACATATTTTTAAATTTAATCCCCACATCTGATTATTACTCCCAGTTCACAGAGGGGAGAAATTGAGGGTGCAAGAGTCTATGCTTGCACATTAAGTGGCAAAGCCAGGATTCACATCTGAGTCTATTTGATTCCAATATATTTGTTTTTGTTTGTTTATTTTAATGTAAGCCATGTTTTAAACTCAGAAATACATGCTGACATTGAGTAATAATGTGTTGCTCCCTCACATGAAAAGGTATAAGCCTACAATCTGATACCCCCAATCAGGCAAATGCCCAAGTATTTAACATAGAGTTTGGATGCCAGTGGAGCTGCAGCAGAGAAATTCATGCTAGGCAATTCATGAAACAGGAATAAGGAAGACTATGAACTAATATTTGCAGAAACTTTGTGTTATGCCCGATATTGTATTAGATGCTTTCATGTATAATATTTCTTCTCATTTTAAGAATCCTGTGAGTTGGGTATTATTAGTCAAGAAAAAGAGTTGTAGAGTAACTGGTGTTTAGCTACCCAGTGTTCATTCTCTCCTTTCCTCCTGAGGATATGAACCTCCCACATTTTAGCTGGGCATAAGGCTATCTGGAGTGAGGGCAACATTACCATCTCTATTCCAGCTGGGTGAGGTCACATGTAAGTTCTGATCAATGAGATGCTCTGCAACAAGTGTAGGCAAGCATCAGATTTTCTTAAGATACCTTCTTTAGGAAAGGCTTTTGTCTTCCCTCCTTTCTACTGCTTGGGACCTGGGTGTGATGGCTGCAGCCCCACCAAGGACCGTGAGGGCGAGGGCCTCAGCTGATGTACAGTAGATCTGAGATGTGAAGCCAGCCTAGGTCTCAGGAGACTGTAAAACCATCATACCAGCCCTGGATTGTCTCTCTATAACCTCCCCCGCTCCAAATACGTGAAAGAGAAACAAACGTCACTTTGGTTAAGTCCCTGTTCTTTGTGGTCTCTGTAATTGGCAGCTCATCTTAACTAATCCAGCAACTCATCTAAACCCAGACCTATCAGTGTGCAAAGTCCATGCTCTTAGGCAGAAGCCTGAAGAACTCCAGCTTCTACTTTGCAATACATTGGGGGTGGGGTGGTATGAAAATGCTGCAGAGGAGTTTCACAGAAGGAAGGTTTGAATATGCTTTCAAACTGGCATACCTGAAAGCAATCTGAAGGAATATGCTGCTTGACAGTGAAGAATTTAGCCTCCCTCAGAGATGGGCAGAGGAAGATCGCAGGCACCTGCATGGAGCTGGAACCAGAAGAGAAATAGAAGCTGTGCAGCTGGTAGTGTCTGTGAAAGCTGCTGTTGGCTAAGGAGTAGGCATTGTAGAATTGAGCCCTGGGTACAGCCACAGGATGAGACAGACAAGTAGTGTTACAAGAAACACTGAAATTGAAGAAGTAGGAGATGAAGTTCAAAGATACAGTCTGGAAGAGGACAAGCACAGAATCATGTGACCCATATCAAAAACAGCATAAAGGTCAAAAAGCAAAAGGAAAGATCAAGGTTGAAGCTCTTACAACTTTTTATTCATTTCCTTTACCCAGTTCATATTAGCACTGCAGTGAATTTAAATTATGTTGGAATTGAGTAGAATCCTAAATGAAAGGCAGGGCATTTATTATTATTCTTTGTTGACTTTCTAAATGAACAGCGATGATAAGAACTTAGAAGTTCAGCAACTGGAGTTAGGACAAATTTTATTGAAGATCTTAAAGAAAAGAAAAGAAAAAACAAGTTACACCTGCCAAAGACATTATTTTAAACAGTAGAAAAAACTTTCATAATAAAGGTATGTAGGAAGTTTAGAAAATAAAAATAGGCAATGGCCAAAAAGGCAGCAATATCAAAACAGGCATGGCACAAACAACAATGCATTTGTAATTGGTTAAAGAAATGCTGTGCCATAACTGGGCCCCCACAATTCCTGTTGGGCGGTCACAAGTCTAAATTGCTGCAGGATCCTGTACTCTGGAGTCAGAACAGCAGGAAGAGACATGCTTCCTATATGAAAAGCAATGCACATCATTCCACCAAGTCTGGAGTTACACAACAAATTCAGCATAAATTCACTGCTGAAAATATCACTGTAGGTAGGCTAGAAGGTTGCTGGAAAGGAAAACAAAAATAAATTTCAGAAATTCATCTTGAGAGACAGTAAATAAAAATCAGGGATTAGATTAAATAGGATATTTTATATGGGTAGCAAAAAATCAAAAAGGAATATAAAAAATACTCATTTGCTATCAAAAAGAATTGGAAAATTAAAAAACAAACTTCTTTACAAATAAAAACTTTGGTTGAAACAAGAATTTTCTAAATATTATAATATTTGCCCCCTTCAACTTCAGATCACAACAACAATAACAACAACAACAAAATCACAAATTTCAGGCCACTGCAGGAAAATATCCACACTGTCTAAGAAAACTTGGAGGGATAATGGAATATTATTCAGCACTCAAAAGAAATGTGCTAAGCATGAAAAGGCACAGAAGAAACTTGTATACTACTAAGGGCAAGAAGGCTACGGACTCTAATGGTTTCGGGTATGTGACATTCTGGAAAAGGCAAAAATATGGATATAGTAAAAGTACCCGTGATTGGTAGGGATTGGGGAGAGAGAAGAATGAAGAGGGTCCTGGAAAACAGGATTTTTTTAGGGCAGTGATGCTATGATAGAGTATCATAATTTGATGATATTATAACAGTGAACACATGTTATTATCTATTTGTTCAAACCCATAGAATGTATATCACCAAGAGTGGACCCTAATGTATACTATGGACTTTGGGTGATGATGATGTGTCAATATAGGTTCATCCATTGTAACAAAAGGACCACTCTGGTGGGATATGTTGATAATGGGGGAGGTTAGGCATGCGTGGGGGCAGGGAGTGTATGGAAAGTCTCTGCATTTTACTCTCAATTTTGCTGTGAATCTAAAACTGCTCTAAAAAATAAAGCCTATTAAATAAAAAAACTTGGATGAGCAGTTATCGTTTTCAAGTTATACTGATGAGGGCCCTTTTCATTTTAATTAATACTGCTTTCATTATGAGGGTTCTGAAGAATGAAACGGCAATGGTCTGTAAAAAGCAAATCTTAACAACCAGTCTAATGAAATCACTCCAGATGTAAAAATATTTGTTAGGCCGGACTTGTTGGAACACCTTCCAATTGAAGAAAAACAATAAGTTTTGAAGAATAGTAAACAAATCTAACATTTAAATTTTTTCTTTAATAAAAATATTTTGTGGGGATAGTAGGTGTAAGAAAAGTGCCATGATTCAACTGTAGACTCAGTGACAACTCTGCCCCTTTCACTACCTGAACTAAGAGAACATCAGGCCTCTAAAGGCTTATATTCTTAAATCACACTGGCCCAATTACGAACGAGACTAGATGTCATTTTACATTCTCTTCAAGAGTGAAAGTTCGGACTAGGTATGCCACGGGCAAAAGAAAGTCACCTTGGCACCCTCGACTCAAAGAGCATTTGGGGTTCTCAGGGGGTGTGACCTGAACACACCAAGGGTATTGGAATTGTTCAATAGTTAAACTGTATGGCAGTTTGGCTTCTTTTGCGTGCTTCAACCCCGCATGTAGGCTTAGAAGACGGGACAGTCTGACAAAGACACATGCCATCTAATTTCTTAGAAAGAGGTGAACAAATTTCCCATTATAAGTTGGCTGCACATTTGCAACTTAAAATTTCATACCGGTATCTTTTTAGTTTTTTTAAAAAAGTTTTTAGGCAAGGCAAACTTATTCAAGGGAGTTCACACACAGGTTGTTTTTAAACGTAGGTTTGCTGTTTTCTGGGAGCGGGGAGCGGGCAGGAGGTGCTAAGAAGGCGTCTCTCTGATCACAAACGTCATTTAAGGACAACCTATGGACTTTGGGAAGTCAGTTCAGGACACAGAGTAATGAGCCAACACCGTACCTTCTCCCTTCTGACCTCTCAGCACCTGCTCAACTGCACCCCAGGAGGAGAAAACTCAGCGTTTCTCTCTACAAGGGTTTTGGTTGCCCCCTTTTCTATCCAACAACCTAGTTGCCAACACCACCATCAAATTGTGGGCGAACAATGAGTATCCAATGAGCATAAAATGTTTGTCAACAGAGCAAGGGCAGAGGGCTAACGAGATCGACCAAACGCGTACACCCTCCGGAGAGGTCTAATCACCTAGAGGCGAGACTTCAGCCTGGAACACCAGAACCCCGTTCCCGCACCGCCGCAGGACTCACACTCAGGTGCAGCGCCCAGACCGCTGGGGAAGAGAGGGGACCACCTCGTTGCGGCCGGGGACGAAGGAGCAGCGAGGCCGCGACTCATCTCTCTGGTCGAGCCTGCTGCCCGCAAGCCCTGGCCGCAAGTGAGGCGTGGACAGGTAACCGCACCTGTTCGGCCAACCCCACCTGCTGCGTCCCCTCACCGCGTCCTCCACCTCCACCACCTGGGTCGGCTCCGCTCCTCCTCCGAGAGCCAGGGGCGTCCCACTCCTACCTACCTGCGCGAAACCAGCCCCGGGCGCCCGCGCTCCCGGCGGCGTCCACCCTGCGCCGCTCCGGGCGCGCAGGCGGCGGCCGGGCGCCCGCACTTTGTCGGCTGCCGGAGGCTGCGGGCTCAGCGGGAAGCCCCAGCGCTAGCAGGCTCGCCGCCTCCGACCGGCTCCATTGTGACGCGGCGCCCGGCGCTGGCCAATCCCGGCGCCGCGGCGCGAACCGCTGACTAAGTTCGCGGGTGGAGGAGGAGGGAACTGGGCGGAGGCAAGAGGCGGAGGCGGTGGCCGCGGAGTGGCGGTGGCAGTGGCCGAGGAGGAAGAGGAGGAAGAGGTTGCGGCTGCTTCGGTAGCTGCTCCTGCTGTTAAATTTACAGCCGCCTCGGCCCCAGTGTTTGCCCGGCTTTGGGAGCGCGGGGGGCGGTGACTCACCCCTCGCTGATGGAAACAAAGCGCAGCTGCCATCACCCGGGAGAGCGCCATGTGGCCGTCCCGGCCCGCTTTCTACAGCCGGCAGCAGCGCGCAGCTACACATCTCCCCCGGGAGGCGCGGGGGAGGGGGTTGGGGGGCTACCAAGAGTGGGAGCTGTTTTCAAGAGACGGGAGGGAGAGGTGCATCGTGCAGGGGACCTTGGAAGTACAGTGTTTTTGTATCGGCCACCGCCTGCCCACTCGTGCACCCCCGAGTAACTTCTGATTTACATAACGAGCGTTGGGCCCTAAGGGAAGGCTCGGGTGGAGCTCGCGGGAACCTAACCTCTTAGACGCGGTTCCTTTACCTTTCTTTACACGCCGTGCTTAGGAAGATTGCAGGGCTGAGCTTGTGCGAGAGAGTTTACAGTTGTAGCAAACTAGGCGGCTGAAGTTAGGATTCTGGGCCTCCAGGACCATCCATCTCTCAAATGTCCTTGTCTTCGGGATGGGGAGGAAACAACACGGTAGAGGGGCCGCCCTATACTCCTAACCGGCGTTTAACTGCCAGGGTACTGCAGGGCCACCCCATCTACTGCCCCACCGTTTCCCTTCGCGGTTAAGTGGCCCTCATTTAAATAATACAAACCCAGGAATTTGGGAAACTTAATATGTATTTTTATCATCCACATTCATCCCTACTCTCATTCTCCTCCCAGACTTAACTCAGTCTTTTTGTCAGAACTATCATCTTCAACAATGATTCAGTTAGACAACATTTGTATCTCTGTGTTGCTGTGGCGACCGCATTCCCATTTTTAAAAAGTGTTAGTACAGGGACCTCCCACAAGTAAATGAAGACTACAAACCCCTCAGCATTTGGGGCATATCTGCTCAGTTTGTGTGACTGGGAATAAAGCAAATGGCACAACTGAGGTCTATGAGATTTAGTTGTGTCCCATACAGTGTGGTCAGGTTAAGGCTCTCATTTGAATTACCCTGGAAGGGATTAAGAAGGCCGCCTGCAGGACGCTGCTCTATTCTTTTATCGTCGCCGCCCTTCGGGGCTGGCAGCGGTCTTCTTAATAAGCCTTAGAGGAAAGGCTGAAAGAAGCTTCCTTTGGTCATTCACGGAGTTTATCGAGTTTAGGTGTTACAGACCCTGGGTATGAACAGATCTATTAAGCTGATTTAGCTTTGGGTTTGGTCCTTGGAGAGGACGGTTAAAAAATTCACAAATATGAAACAAGGAAAAAAGTGTGTGCTAGAAGACATGCCAATTGTAAAGTCATAACATTCAAAATTGAGAATGTCTGCTTTTCTCTATGTATCTTTGAATATTTGGAAAGCAATGCTCTCTTTCCTTCCAAATCCATAAATAATTTATTCTTCTGTTACAGCAGTATGACTACCTGTGTGACTTGGGGTATGCACTTAACCCCCACGGGTGCCAGTCTCATCATTTATAAAATAAGATCTTATAAATTAGATGATCTGTTAAGATTCCAATGACGCTATGAATGAAAAAGTTATTTCCATGCTTTTATAGCTAAGTCACCATTAGCAGGAAGTTAAAGTGATAAAATTCAGTAAAACTGTATTAGGTTTTGGTTAATATCAGATATGTAGTTTATAAATGCATTTATTCTAATTCTCATTTTAAAAAATCACCCTTCATGGTAACAACATTTATTAATGAAACCTGAGAAAGTGGGTTTCTAAACTTGTGATATTGCTTCCAGGAATTCTTCTCTGAAACTGTAACATTTCTCTTGTTTCTTCTTCCTACTGCAAGGCTTCATATCAGCTCCCACTTGCGTTACTGTGAAGAGAAAGATAGATAACCTCAGATGCTGTTATGAGCCCATAAGGGAGAGAGAAGAGTATTTTAGTAACTACAAATTATTTGCATCTCAGGGTAGGCCTTAGAGTAAGAAATATAAATACTGTTTGGATTTCCACGCTTGTGCCCAGTCAATCTCTTTGAAAACAGGACCTTGGAAATATGCAGTCTATATATTGGTGTCTGAAATTCTCTAAGGGATTCTCTGACCAACTTATTTTGGTAAAAATTCTAAAAGAGTCCATCACTATTTCCACAGAAAAACTCATTGAAGTCTGCAATAGTTATTCAAAATCCCATCATAGATGTTAAGCACATGTTATGTGTCCATCAATATACTTGACATCAGGAATGATATCAAAGAAGCATCCAACTTGGTCCTGGTCCCTAGGGTCAGCTGCTCACAACTTAGCTGAACACGCAGAAAACAATCACGTGCTACTTATACTCAAATGAAGAGACTGCACAATGCAGGTGGTAGTAGTCAGAAAAAGACTTAGGAAGAAAGGAGAACTTAAACTAAGTATTGAAAGAGAAGCAAGATTTGGGAAGACTAAATTCTATACCTTTGCTTTATCTGCCCCCAATATTGTCTTAAAATGATCAACACATCCTCAGGACTCACTCTCTTTTTGGTAAACTGAGAATCTCTAGAAGGAGAAGTAAAACTATTTTATTTTCTACACATCCAATTGAGTAGAAAAAGAGCTACTGGTAGGGTCTTCATATTCATGTGACAAAGGGATGACTGAACAGTAGATGAGCCAGTTTCTTTACACAATGACACAAGCAAAATCACAAATAATAGAAATTAAAGGATCACTACAATCTGGTCATTCGGTGGCTTAATTCTGTGACCCACATGAAGTAATCGGCTAACACTTGGGTTTGGCAGATCCCGTCTAAGGTGATTCCCTTGGTGGGGGGGTGGGAACTTCTGAGTGACATGATTAGGCTACACTTCATGTGGCTGCCTTAATAAGAGTTTAGTTTTCTCTGAGTCTTAAAATTTTTATCATTAATGGAAGACCGAATATTATCTAATATTAACAGTTCTTTTCCAATTTATTCTAAAAATTATTTAGGATAATGAAAAATCCTCTACTTCTTTAAATTAATTAAACATTTAAAGTCTACAATGTATATAAAAGAAAGCACTGGGGATCTGACAGGGGAGAGACTATGCTGAAATAAATATAATTCCTTTATTCAAAGATATAGTGTGCTCTAGTGAGGAAGGTATATCCAGAAAGCACCTTACAGGGGAGATAAGGCTGGTGGACTGTGTAGTGTGGAGGAAGAATCATACTGAGCATGGGTCTGAGGAAGTTTGGCTAGCTTTACGTTTCTAAATTAAAATACTACTTTTAAATATTGACTCAGCATTGCGGTTCAAGTTTGTTAGTTCTACTGAAATGTCAGTTCATAAGAAAATAACAAAGTCATTCACAGTTTTGCATTCTCAGAAAGTTTGCCAGAACCCCCCTGGTTCAGCTGTGTATGATTGAGCGTATTGTCTTTGATAAGGAATTTTATTTATTTATGGCTACTTTACCATGTTTTTCTGACCTTTTCAATCTCTTGGTTGCAGATGTTTAATATGAGCTTTCCTAGGGCCTGGGGAAAACTTTGAGAATGATCCCTGGGAGTGAGCTCAGTGGTGAGAATTCTGAGAACAGGATAAGTAGGATATTGCACATGTGTTTGGAATAGTGTAGCTTGACCTAGAAATCCGAACTGTAATTGTGTAAGCGGGCCAGCTGTGCATTTCTGTGTGCGTTGATCTGTTATCACTGTCGCAGTCTGGAATGTTCATGACTAGTTACTCTGGGTTCTCGTCACCCACTGTGATGATTGTCCCCTCTGCTTTAACTATCCACTGCCCCTTCCCCATGAGACAGGTGCTAGGCAGATGACCTTCAGCCTCTTCCCCGAAGGAAAAGCACAAATTCCTGCGGCAGGATGCCTGACATCCCCAGTTGATCTGGGAAGTTGTCCCAATATTTCTTTGAAAGTTTCCTATGCATCACATTAAGAGAATATGTACTGTCATCTGGGTCACATATTGGAATCCACCACACAGTAGCCAGCTAGTTATTGCCTCACGTCACTGAAAAAGGAGGTGACTTCTAAGAAAATATCTGCAAGTGAAGCCAGGCTGAAAGCCTAGAATTAAAGCAGAGCTGGTGTTCCTCAGCTTCTGCAAAGTGGTCTGATAAGTTCTGCTAGTGATTAAGGCCGTGCTTGCTGGGACCCCCGTGAGGATTCAATCTGTGTTCCCCAAATGATGTTGAAATCTGAGCAAGAGGTTTCCTGGTGCTGGTTTCTGAGGGTCCTAATAGGGAACCCTTTCACTTCGTAGGTTCTGAGTAACCCAGGTCTAGCAACAGCCAGACCTTGATTTTCTCCTCAGCAACTCTTGTGTGTGCATGTATGTGTCTCTTGGCCTACTATAAGGCCATCTGTTAATTATAATTAAACACTGAATACTAAACTTTAATATTCATCTAAGCTGATTTGCTAAGAACAAGAGCTAATACATGTGTGGTTTATTAAGAATTTAAAAAAATCAAAATGTTTTAAAAGAACAAGATCCAGAATATTTTAATGTTGGAGAAGAAATAAATATGTGCCAGAAAGAGCACTGGACTTGGAGTCTTGAGTTCTACTGGTGGCTCTTTTGGGCATGAGACCTAGCGTAATGGGGTAACTTGACCAGTATTTTAATAATATTAAAACATGTGCCTGCTTGGAGCCGGGGAGATGGGCGTGACTCTATCCCATGATGTGATGTAGCCGGATGGGCTTCCTGCGCCTGCAGGAGTGGCTAGGAGGTGGTGTCTTCTTCAAGGGGCCACGCTTGCCTGGACTAACAATGGCAGCTGAGAAAGGCAGAAGAAGCCAGACTACTGGCAGGTGTAGCTGATTATGGGAGGAGTGGGAAATGGGGTTACAAAGATCTGTGCTGGAATTTAAACCTAGACGCAGCAGCCATGCTGGAGCTTAACCATGCAATTTTGGGGGGCAGAAAGGGGGGGCTCCCTTGACCACGTGGT